TGAGCGGGCCCGTGGCGGAACCGGGCACAGTTTTGGCACGGTTCTGGCCGTGGCTCAGGCGCGTCACGGATCCGATGCGGGCCGTGGCACGCAGTCCACCGAAGATGCAGCAGAGTGCCATGGCGTAAGCTGTGGCTTGGGACCGCCCGCGTGAGCTGTGGCGTGGCCGTTACCCGCGCACCTCGTCGGAGGATGAGGATGCTGCCTAGCCCTCGTTTTAGTTCTGCGGTTTTCCCTCAGTCCCCCTTCTGGCCTCCCCCCCCCTCGTGGAGCTGCCCGTCGCTCCTTTGATCGCGCCCTCTGCGCGAGGCCTTCGCCTGCTAGTCACAAGTCACACAGCACCCCCTGGCCCCACCAGCACAAAAGCGCTCCCCTCCTCGCTGCTGTCTCTGGGCTGCGGCAGCCGCACGGCCGCCGCCCGCTGCCCGCGCGCCTGGCGCGCTCTGGCACCGGTGGGGCTGCACTGTCCGGGCCCGGGGGTCGGAACCCCGGTGCCGGGGCTGCCTCTGGAAGTCCCCTAGTCGCGCCGCAAGACAAGGCCAGGGGGATCCGAGACGGCCCAAGAGCGCTCCAAGACACCCATGGCGGCCTCAGATCTCAAGCTGGCCCCCAGACGCCCCAAGGGGGCTCGAAGAGGACCCCAAATAGAGCCCCAAGTGGCAGACATTGCTTTTGCTCTACAGCATGTTGAAGCATTTGGAAGTTTCTCGCTCTTTTGGGCTTCCAACCTTCTAAGACAGTCCCGGAAGGCCCCAAGCGCGCCCCATGACGGCCCAAGAGTGGTGGTCCCTCAGCGAAGTCTCTATTCGTTGCACACCCGCAAGGCGTGACAGGCGTGGCATTCTCTTTGCACCACAATGGGTATGCAGGGGTTGGTCCCTCATCGCTGTCTCTATGCGCTGCAGTCTCGCCGGGCTTGACAGGCGTGGCACTTTCTCGGCACCACAGGGGGTGCGCAGGGGGTGGTTCTTCAGCGCTGTCTCTTTGCGTTGCAGGCTCGCAAGGCGTGGCAGGCGTGGCATTTCCTTTACACCACAGGGCGTGCGCAGGGGGTGGTTCCTCATCGCTGTGTCTACGCGCTGCAGTCTTGCAAGGTGTGGCAGGCGTGGCACTTTCTCGGCACCAGAGGGGGTGCGCAGGTGGTGGTCCCTCAGCGATGCCTCTACGCGTTGCAGTCTCGCAAGGAAGGCGTGGCAGGCGTGGCACTTTCTCGACATCACAGGGGGTGCGCAGGGGGTGGTCCCTCAGCGCTGTCTCTATGCAGTGCAGGCTCGCAGTGCATGGCAGGCGTGGCACCCCTCTCGACACCAGAGGGGGTGCGCATGGGGTGGTCCCTCAGCGAAGCCTGTATGCGATGCAGGCTCGCCGGGCGTGACAGGCGTGGCACTTTCTCGGCACCACAGGGGGTGCGCAGGGGGTGGTCCCTCAGCGCTGGCTCTATTCGTTGCAAGCTCGCAAGGCGTGGCAGACGTAGCATTTGGTCGACACCAGAAGGGGGTGCGCAGGGGGTGGTTTCTGAGCGCTGTCTCTATGCGTTGCAGGCTCGCAAGGCGTGGCAGGTGCGGCATTCCCTTTACACCACAGGGGGTGCGCAGGGGGTGGTCCCTCATCGCTGTCTCTACGCGATGCAGTCTCGCAAGGTGTGGCAGGAGTGGCACTTTCTCGGCACCACAGGGGGGTGCGCATGGGATGGTCCCTCAACGAAGCCTTTATGCGTTGCAGTCTCGCAAGGCGTGGCAGGCGTGGCATTTTCTCGGCACAGGGGGTGCGCATGGGGTGTTCCTCAGCGCCGTCTCTATGCGTTGCAGGCTCGCAGGGCGTGGCAGGCGTGGCACTGTCTCGGCACCACAGGGGGTGCGCATGTGGTGGTCCCTCAGCGCTATCTCTATGTGCTGCCGGCTTGCAGGGCGTGGCAGGCGTGGCACTCTCTCAACGCCACAGGGGGTGCGCAGGGGGTGGTTTCTGAGCGCTGTCTCTATGCGTTGTGGTCTCGCAAGGCGCTGCAGGCGTTTTCATTTTCTCGGCACCACGGGGGGTGCGCAGGTGGTGGTCCCTCACCGATGCCTCTATGCGTTGCAGTCTCGCACGGCAGGCGTGGCAGGCGTGGCACTTTCTCGACGCCACAGGGGGTGCGCAGAGGATGGTCCTTCAGCGCTGTCTCTATCCGTTGCAGGCTCGCAGGGCGTGGCAGACGCGGCACCCTTCTCGGCGCCACAGGGGGAGGGCGAAGGGGGGGTGGTCCGATGGGGTGCGGAGGGGGTGCGGTCTTTATCCCCTGCAGGCTCGCAGGGCTGTGCAGGCGCTGCACGTCGTGGGTGCTGGAGAGGTGCGCATGGGCGTCTTATCCGTGCTTGCAAACTCCTTGACTCAAGCTTGCTCGGCACAAGTGCACCACGCCGGACCCCCGTTCGCATTGACCCCCGTCTCTTAAACTCCGACAGAAGCGCTTCAAAACGGTGGCTGGTGGCCCCCCAAGATGGCCTCCGAGGGGCCAGGACAGCGCAAGAGCGCACCCAGGCGACCGAACAGGCCTTCCAGAGACCCGAAGTGGCCCCAAGAGGGACCCAAAGGCCCCCGAGCGGGGCCCCGGCACGCCTGAACCCCCCACTTGACGCCGTTTGTCGCCGCCGTCCCGAGATGTTCCATCGATAGGCACTCCCCGAGGTTTTCGGTCGATGGGTTTCTTCTCCTGTCTTCCTCAGCTGCTCTATGCGCAGTTCGGAAACTTTCCGCCGAAGAGATGCTTAGGCTACCGCAGTGCGCGCGCAGTAGCGCGGACCCGGTTGAGATCGAGGAGAATCATTCAAAACGTTGTTTTTCCTTCGTCTGTTCCAATCCCTTCCTCCCTTCCTCTCACGTTCGCACTCATGCTCATCCTCCGTGCCCCCGACCGAGGTGAGAAAGGGAGGCAGAGGCGCAACATTCGCGACGAGTGTTCAGAACGCGGACTGCCAAACACATACTATTTAAACTCAGTTTGTGGGGTTCTTCGGTAGCGTATTATTAGGTCGATTGGTTACTAGGATTCACATCGGGAGCGTTTGCGGTTCTTATAGGGATCGCATACGGCCCGCGTAGAAATCGTGCACGATTCATGTAGGACCCCTTTTCATAGGATTCGCATTCGATTCACAAGGGAAGATTGTGTGATTCACACAGGAGCCGTTTACACGGGAATCGTATCCAATTCGCATGGGATGCGTAGGATCGCACATCGAGTAACATAGCACAGGATCCCCACGCAATCGCAAATGAGCCGGGGGAAAACCCAACCATATGCAGTTGCGAGTGACGCAGGATGTTGCCTTCTCATCATAGGCAGCGCGCCGCGAAATGGATGGAGCACGGGGCAACCCCGAAGCGAGTGCGGGGAGCTGCGAATTTGGCTGGGGACCCATGCGGGCGGTGCCACTGGGGCCTTCGGCGGGGTTCCCTACGGGCCACGAAATATGTGAGGGGTGTTGTAAAAGAGGCTAAGCAAATGCATGCGAACCCTGCCACTAGGGCCTTCGGTGGAGCTCCACATGGGGCCGCGAGGCGTGTGATGGGTGTCCCGAAATAGGCGGTGAACCGCATGCGAACCCTGCCATTGGGGCATTCGGCGGAGCTCCCTAAGGGGCCACAAGCCGTGTGACGGGTGTGCGGAAATGAGGCGGGGCCGCCATGCGAACCTTGTTCACGGGCCTTTCGGCGGAGTCCCTCGTGTGGCCACGAACCGTGTGAGGGGTGTGCCTTAATGGAGGCGGGGCCGCCATGCAAACCTTGTCAGTGGGGCCTTCGGCCGAACTCCCTATGGGCCACGAAATATTTAAGGGGTGCTTCGAAATGGGGCGGGGCCGCCATGCGAACCCTGCCACTGGGGCCTTCGATGGAGTTCCCTATGGGGCCACGAAGCGTGTGAAGTGTGTACCGACATGGGGCGGGGCCGCCATGCGAAGTTTGCCAGTGGGGCCTTCGGTGGAGCTTTCTTTGGGCCCACGAAGCGTGCGAAGGGTGGTGCGACATGGGGCGGGGCCGCATGCGAAGTTTGCCACTGAGGTTTTCGGCGGAGCTCCGTATGGGGCCACGAGCCGTGTGAGAGGTGTGCCGACATGGGCGGGGAACCGCATGCGAATTCTGCCAGTGAGGCCTTCGTTGGAGCTCATTATGGGGCCACGATCCATGTGATAAGCGTGCCGACATGGGCGGGGAAACGCATGCGAACCCTGCCAGTGAGGCATTCGGTGGAGCTCCCAATGGTTCCCTGAACCGTGGGAGAGGTATGCCGAAATGGGCGGGGAACCGCATGCGAACTTTGCCAGTGAAGCCTTCGGTGACGCTCCTTATGAAACCACGAACCCTGTGAGGGGTGTGCCGAAATAAACATGCGGGGGGCATGGGCGCGCATGGCAGGAGGGAGGAAATGGGAGGAGGATGCGTAGGGCAGAGGCACGGATGGAAGATGAGGGGGGGGAGGCAGTGGGAGTTGGAGGAGGGGGAACGCGGGGCGTTGCCCCTTCAAAGCGTGGACTCAAAACCACATGATGGTTTGGAAAAACAGGGACCAACCCCGGCCATGGAATATGGAAAGAGCGAGTGATTTTCCTGACCTTCAACATATTGGCCTAGGTGTAAACACACGCAGCCAGGATTGGCCCCATCCGGCAGGGATTGGTACCACCTTGCCAGGATTGGTCTCTCACCCAGACCCCCCCCTTTGTGGCACCCAGTGCCCAACACCCCATGACTCCGATCCCACATGAGCAAACCCCTGTTGTGGCCCGAGTCAGCCGCCGGTCGCGGGATCTGCGCCGGGCAGTCTGCCGCCGGCCCGTGGGCGGCCTCCGGGGTGGGCCTCTCCGACGTCTGGGCCGCCACGCAGGAGCACGAGGACAGCGTCGCCATGGACCGTCAGACCGTCGGACGAGCCCAGCGGTGGCTCAGCCAGGAATCGTTGTCGTCAGCCGCGGCGGAGGAGCTGCAGTTCGAAAGGGCCTGGTGGGCCGAGGCGCTAAAAAGCGATGATCAAGGAGCACCGCGCGGACCAGATGGCCGCAATCAGGGAGGCCCTCGAGGGCCCCGTGGTAGAGATCGGGCGGGCGCAGCGGCTTCAGGCGGAGCTGCAGCAGACGCAGCAGCTGCAGATGCCGCAGCTGCAGGGCTCCGTGCTGGAGATCCGCCAGGCCGCCTCGGAGGCCGCCGTGCCCGTGGCGAATGGACCCGGCAGGCGAGAAACGCGCCTGCAGGACGCGCGGCCCCAGTCGACGCCCCCGCCGCCAGACGGCGCCTCGCGGGCGACGCCGCCCGAGGCGCCGCCGCCGCCGGGCGGCTCCCCGCAGGCGGGGAGCGCGCTCGCCGCGGAGCTGGGCGACGCGGTGCGCGCCGCGGTGCGCGCCGCGGTGCGCGCGGAGCTGGGCGAGCTGCTCGCGGAGGGCGGGCCCCTGCGCGGCGCCCTGCGGAGCGAGGCAGAGGCCGCGTCGGGCAGCTGCGGCTGCTCGCCGTGCCGGCGCAGGCTGTCACCACCCACCAAACCACCCCAACCCAACGCGAAGGCTTCAATGTGCCCTCCATTTCCATGTTTGGGGGGTGTCGGGGAACGTCTAGAAACACATCTGGACCCGGTACCCCCCCCAACCCGAAATTCTGATCTTCGGGTTGGGTTGGGGTGGTCTGGTGGGTAGTCAGGCTGAGCGGGACTCTTAGACATGGCCTTGAGCAAACGCTTTCGGAGGGTGTGGATTCGACGGTGGCGGAAGATGTAAGTAGCTTTGCGCCGAGCCTTGTTCGGGCCGCAAGACAAGGCCAGGGGGATCCGAGACGGCCCAAGAGCGCTCCAAGACACCCAAGGCGGCCTCAGATCTCAAGTTGGACTCCAGACGCCCCAAGGGGGCTCGAAGAGGACCCCAAAGAGAGTCCCAAGTTGCAGACATTGCTTTTGCTATACAGCTTGTTGAAGCATTTGGAAGTTTCTCGCTCTTTTGGGCTTCCAAAGGGCCCCGGAGGCCCCCAAACGCGCCCCATGACGGCGCAAGAGGCTCCGAAGAGGGCCGCCAGAAAACCCTAATGAACGCAGAGACCGCCCAACAGGCGCATCTGACGGTTCAGGAGGCCCCCATGACGGTATCAAAAAGACCCCTCAAGGACCTTGCAGCCGCTGCCTTCAGATCTGGCAGGTTCCCACCCTGCCGCGGAGAGCCACGCTGCAGAATCTGCCCTGGGCGCCTGGAACATGGGACCGCGCAGCCGTTGCCTCCAGATCTGGCAGGACTGCCCCTTGCCGCGGAGAGCCGCGCGGCGCAGAGTTGACGTCGCGCTGGTTGCGCCAGTGGAGCTGGTCGTGCCAGTCGCGCCGGCCACGCCGGTCGAGCCAGTCACGCTGGTCGCTTCGGCCACACTTTGTCACGCGGGTCGCTCCGGTCACGCGGGTCGCCCTGGTCACGCTCGTCGCGTGGCAGGGTCTTCGCGGTATCGCATGTTTGCAAAGGCACGAGCAGGGACTGAGGGCGTGCTGACTCTGTCACAGTCGGCGTGGCATTGTTTCCGTCGTCGTTGGGGTGTTAGTACTTTGGCGTTGGCCAGGGAGGGCGGAGCCCATTTACTACCAAGAGCTCCTTGGCAGCGACGGGGCGTATATGCTTATCAGCGTGACGTCAGCTTAATATTGTTTGTCGTCGTTGGGGCGTTAGTACGGAGGCGCTGGCCAGGAAGAGCGGTGCCGATTGGTTGTCATGCATATGGTGTAAAACAAGGACGACACAAGATGATCCTACAGGCGCTCCAACAACGAGCCCAAGGCACAACATCATTTTTTTGTTTTTCATCGGTTCTTCGAAGGATTTACGCTATTCCGCCTTTCAGGCTCCTCCACGCTTTAAAACCGCCTCGACTTCGTCAGGCGGCCCTAAGCGGGTGCACACAGACCCCGGGAGCCTCTAGCCGGCACACGAGGCGCCCCAGAGGCGTCCGAGGCGGCCCCAAATCGGCCCACGAGAGCCCCCAGAGGCCCCCAAGCCGATCCAGGGGAGCCCCGAATCTTCAACAGAGGGCTCCGCACTCCGAAGGCCTCCCAATAGGCCTCCAGGGCGAGCAACGATGCCTCCAAGAGCACTCACAAGAGACCCAAGAAACCGAATCCGATATTTTGTTTTCTGCGAACGGGAGAAAGAGTGAGAGAGAGGGAGAAACAACAAAAGTCAAAGTTGGTGGTTTCTAGAATTTCCATCATTCTGTTTTTCGTGCTTCTCCACGCTCTAAGACCCCCTAAGGCCCCTAGGATCACTTAAGCACCGTATCAGACTCCCCTGCGCAGGTGTCAATGCAGTCCCTCGGGGCTCCAAAACGGCCCACAAGGGGTCTTCTTGGGGCCCCTTCGCGACCCTCTCTGGCCCCTCCACCGCGGCGTGGGAGCGCTCCCAGGGGGCTTCAGTCAGTAGCAGTGAGAGCGAGAGGGACGTCACGCGACAGAGCGTGCGCGTGACGTACCTCTCCCTGCTCTTGGGGCCCCACTCGTGCCCTCCTGGGGCCCTTCCCAGCCCCTCTACACTCCAGGCGATGCTTAAGAAAACCCAAGTTTTCGGCCAGAGTCTCGGTTATTCTTACTGTTTCAATGTAAATCCTAACATTTGAAAAGACATTCTGGGTTTGATTTCAAATTCTGAGACTATAAATTTCTTAACCCATGACTTCTTAAGCATTTCGCAGGGTGTAGGGGCCGTCCCGCGCGACCTCGGAGGGCTCCCACAGGGCTTCCACAGCAGTGCAAGTTCAGTCACGCGAGAGCGCACTCACGTGACTTGCCGATCACTGCTCTCGAGGGCCTTCGAAGCCTTGTTCGGGGCCTTCTAGAGCCCTTCCCAGATCCTCTTGGGACATTGCATCGCCGCCTCGAAGGCGGAGGGCTCCCAGCGGGCCCAATACAGTCGGGGCCCTGAAGAAGGAACCCTTTTCGTTGGGGAGGGGCTCCGCGTTCCTTAAGTGTTTCGCAGCTTGCCTCAGGTTTTCCTTATGTTTTCGATCGGAAATCGAAGTTTAATTCATGGAAAAAAAGGGCCTCGTTCCTTATTTAGGGTTCCTTAGGTCAACGCCCCGACTGTAGTGTAGCAGTGCATGCTAAGTCACGCGAGAGAGCGCTCGCGTGACGATTACGATGATGGTTATGATGGTGTTGATGACGATGATGATGATGATGATGATGATGATGATGATGATGATGATGATGATGATGATGATGATGATGATGATGATGATGATGATGCTGATGCTGATGATGATGCTGATGCTGATGCTGATGCTGATGCTGATGATGCTGATGATGATGATGATGGTGGTGATGATGATGATGGTGATGGTGATGGTGATGGTGATGGGGATGGGGATGGGGATGGTGATGGTGATGGTGATGGTGGTTGTGGTGGTGGTGGCGGTGATGATGATGATGATGATTATCATGATCATTATCATGATGCTGATGCTGATGATGATGCTGATGATGATGCTGATTATGTGAGTATGATGGTGACGATGATGATGTTAGTGATGACAATGGTGTTGATGACGACGATGATGCTGGTGCTGATTACGAGGAGGCTTCTGAAGATGATGAGGATTATGACGATGGTGATAGTGATGGTGATGATGATGATGACGCTGATGATGATGATGACGATGATGATGATGATGGTGATGATGATGATGATGATGCCGATGCCGATGATGATGATGATGATGATGATGATGATGATGATGATGATGATGATGATGATGATGATGACGATGACGATGACGATGACGATGACGATGGTGGTGATGATGATGATGCTGGTGTTGGTGATGGTAATGGTCATGGTGATGGTGATGATGAGGATTACGTTGTTCTAAGTGGCGTTTGTGACGATGTGGCGATGATGATCTTGACAGTGATAATGCTTCTGACTCCTTCTGTTCTACGGTCTGGCGACCGCAGTCGCTTGTGGAACCCTCCCCGGCATGCGCTAGATCCATCGCGCGCGCTTCAAGATCGCCCGAAGACGGCCCCAGACTGCTTGCAAACGCGCTTCGAGACCGCCAAGACGGCTGCACTCCTGCACCGCGGCTTGCCGGGTTCCCTGATATGCCTTCCCCAGCTCCCGCCCTTCCCTGTCTGCTGGCTGGGCTGGCGCCTCACAGACCTCCTACCCTTCCACCTCGATTAGCGAATTGGCCGTTTTCGGTTCGCGAGAGGGCGTCGCGGCCGTCTTTTTTGCGGGTCCAGGCCCGTCGGTTTCGGTCCCAGGCCGCTTTCACTAAGGGGAGGTTTACTAAAGGGAGGTCTGTCCACCGCCGAGATGCGTCCCACTCCCGCTCACGCCGCAGCTCCAGCGAATCACGCTCGGACTCGTCCTCGCACGCCCTCGCCTCCTGTCTGCCCCGCACCCTCCCGCCCCGCCCGGCGCCGCCAGTGGGTTCGCGTCGCCGGGCTCTCCTGCAGGCGCGCGCGCGCGCCTGCGGGCGGGGGGGGCGGGGGCGCGTCGCTGTTTCATTTATCTGGGTAGTGTAAATCGCACTGTGCGCTGGCGTTGTGAGTAGATAGTATGTGTCAAACTTGCGCGAACTTCAGCAACCTTCTTTGCTTAAAAATGTGGTATTGTAACACATGTGCGTTCTTATTATAAGATGTTGGAAACTAGCATGTAGCATGCGATCTTAAATCAAGATCTAACAGACCCCGGGGCGGGCGGGGGGGGCTCTGAACCTAGGCGAACAAAAAGTGACATAAGCATAACAAGTCGGAGGTCCGCGCGGATTCCTCAGATCGGCGCTGGACCCCCCTCCCTGGCGCGCGGAGCGCGCCAGGGGCGGCGCCGCCGGGGGGTTCCAGCGCCGATCCGAGAAATTCGCGCGGCCCTCCGAGTTGTTATGTTCATGCTTTTCTTTTGTTCTCCTAGAATCGGGGGTGGACAGAACCCCCAACAGTGACTCGTCGATGAGTGAATTGTCCGTTTTCGGTTCTCGAGAGGGCGCCGTGGCCGTTATTTTCCAGGCTTGCGCCCGCCAAGTTTGGGCCTCAAGTCGTTTTCACTAAGCCCCGTTTTACTAAAGGGGGGTCTGTCCATCCCCGATAGAGCCGCCCCGCGACGCCGGCACTCTCCTGGAGTGCCTGCGTCGGCCGCGCCGCCCGCCCTTGCGCCCCAGGTTGGGCGGGGAGGGGCGTGCTTCAGGAGGGAAAGAAACACACAGACACAATTAATCGTCGACTCCCAGGAGAATATGCAAAAATATGGGAAATGAGGAAAAATACGGGAAAATACTCCCAGGGGGAAGACAGAAACCACAAAAATATGGGAAAATATGGGGAATAATTTTACGTAGCACCCCGCAATTGCGGATAAGAGTGAGGGGGCGGGCGCGGGCGACGCGGGCGTCGTCGAGCCGGCGGACCGCGTGGCACCCACCTTCCCTGTCGATGGCGCTCTCCTCCTCCTTTCGGGGAAGCGTGACACCCGGGTTTGCCAGGACTCGGGTTCGCCATCGTTTTTTGACGACCGCGCCTCGGATTTTGACGAGGAGGAGTTTCGTGGGATGTCTGCAGCGGGAGGCCTCGTCAAAATGCAGGCTCGGCCTCGTCATTTTTTGACGACCTCGTCGGGGATTTCCGAGTCCCCTGTACCCAGGTCTTACGTCCCCTGATCCTCCTCCTCCTCCTCCTCCTCCTCTCTCCTCCCTCGTCCTCGTCCTCGTCCTCGTCTCATCGTCATCGTCATCCTCCTCCTCCTCCACCTCGTCCTCGTCTTCCTCCTTTTCTTCCTCGTCTTCCCTCTCCCCCCTCGTCCTTTCATCATCGTCCTCACATTGTCGTCCTCCCCCTCATCGGCCTCCATCATCGTCCTCCCATTGTCGTCCATCATCATCATCATCCTCCCCCTCCTCGTCCTCCTCCTCCCCCTCCTCCCCCTCCTCGTCCTCCTGCTCCTTTTCTTTTTCTCTCCCCACATTATCCTTACATCTTCTGTTCTTCCGCGTCCGCCTCGTCCCCTGTTTACTCCTCCTGCCTCCCCCTCCTTTCCCAAGATAACTGCAACGCAATCTTTTGTTCCATTTTATGCTCCCCGACTTCTCTGATCAAGGCAACTCGCCATGGCAAGGTTGCTGGACGGGCTGGTGTGGATGCGCGGGGCTTGAAGAGGTCCTGGCGGGCTCTGACGGCATGCAAAAATCCGCCGCCGCGCTTGTGCGGCATTGGTTTGTTCAGTGAACGTGGTTTGGGTCGCGGGTGGGTCGCGGGCTCTCCACCTCCACTTGGAAGGACTGCAAAAGCAGCCCGCCGCAGGCGCCAAAAAAAATAGTTTGTACACTGAACGTGGTTTGGGTCGCGGGTGGGCCACGGGTTCTCCACCGGGAGCG